CACCTCGGCGAGGAGCCGCTGGCGCCTGGCACGGCCACGGCGCAGGGACGCGCGCCCCTCCGTGGGGAGACACCTGCAGGCGGCCGGCGACACTGTTCCGGCGCCCGCCCGCAAGGGGAGAGGGGGCGCCCCGCGCGGGCGCGGGTGGGGGACTGGGAGAGAAGGGGCGCCCCGAAAGAGACCCTCGCCCTAGTGGAGGGGCTGAGAAGCAAGGACAGTGCTAGGCTAGGCGCTCCCGAGAAAGGATCCCCACAGCTGGACGCGGGGCAACAAAAGCGGCCTGGAGGGGGCATCTCACGTGAGACCCAAAGAGGCCCTGCCCATGGGAGACTGGGGCAGAGCCCGCTGGGGCTCCCCAGGAGGGGCGCAGACCAGCAGAAGCTTCCTCCAGAGGGGGTCCCAGAAAGGAGCCCCACGCCAGACCCCGAGAAAGGAGCTCTGCAAAGGGTCGGGGCTGCGGAGCGTGCAGGGCTGCCCAGTCGGGAGCTGCAGGGCCGGCGGGAAGGGACGCCTCATGACGGACCTGGAGCTGCAGGACTGGTCAGGGGGTACCCACTCGGAACACAGGGTTGTGGTTTGAAAGGTTTGTCTACCCCCTGGGGGCCACCTCCAGCGTCTGGGAAGGGGCCACCTCCAGCGTCTGGGAAGAGCTCCCCTCCGAGGATGAAGCAGTCATTTGTGCTCCCTGTCATGTCACAGAGCAGCAGGAAGCGTGGCAAAGCGGTACCCCATACAGGGTGGCAAGTGTTGGGCAGGATAAATAGGGCTTCTGCACTCAGGCTCTCCCCACCCTCCCCTCAAGATCCTGATCAGCATGACCCAATGACCCAAGGAGGTCCCAGGCCAGACACAAAATTGTTGTGGGGTATCCTACAGGGGCTGCCAACCTGAAATCTTCGAGGTTGGGTGGGGGCAGAGTGGTCAGGCATACTGACTTTGGGTTCAGGCAAACCTGAGGTTTGATCAGCTGTGTGACTTTGAACAAGTCACTTACCCTCTCTGAGCCTCAATTTCCATAACTATAAAAAGGGGAGGAATATACTTCAGAGGTATATATCACATTGGCCTGCCGTAATGAGATCGTGCCCATAAAAAACATTTAGCACATGGTAGACTCAATAAACGTCAGCCGCTATTATTAACATCTGAACAAGATCAGTTGGCCAAACTTGCACAAACCTTTTCAGGCACTCTTGTGCAAAGTGAGGACTGTGTGCACCCCCATCCCCACCTCTGCTCTAAGATGATCATGTTCCCTGAACTCCCCTCACACTGCACAGCGCAGAGTGCCCGGACGCCCAGGATGTGCAACAATTAATTGCATGTTGATTGCAAGAGCTAATTTGAATTCTGCCCAAGCTGAAAACTGTTCCAACAACCCCTGGCTTGCCAAGTGGCAGGCCTTGCAGAATTCAAGGTTAACAGATTATGAATTGCCTTACTCCTGTGGGTGATCAGCTGCTGCTACTCTGCCTGGGGGTAGGTGAGAGCAAAGCTTTGTGGACAGTGTCCCCGGCAGGAACCCACAAGAAGGATGGCCAGGGGTCTCCAGACTTGCTTATTAGAGCCCTTCTCTGACACTAGGCAACAGGTTCCCAACTGTTTTGTGGGAGAGGACTTCCATGTAATAATGGTGACATTGAGGACACCGGTTGACAGAGGAAATGTATCATGGCCAAACAGCTACAAGGAATCCAGTAGCACTTTTAAACAGGCATACAACATCCATCACAAGAGTGTCTGTATGCCATTGAAAACCAGGCCTTCCGTGTGCTTTAGCAGGTGCTTTTCTGGGCTTGAGACTGTGGTTGGTGCGCACATGGGCGGGGATCGGGGACCTACTGGCTGGGAACCTTGTACTGGGCGTCCAGAGCCAGGAGAGCCCAGGGAACTACGTCTCAGGGACCACACTCTTTTAAGAAACACCCAGAGGGAGCACAGAGGGATTTGAGATTTCTGTCCACTCACTGAGCACCTGCTGAATGCTCAGCACCAGGAGAAGCGAGAACACGAACATCAGTAAGAAGGAACATTGGCGAGTGCGTAGGGTTAAGGGCCGGGGAAGAAACTAAAGCAGGGAGGAGGGAAGAGGAGGAGCCTCGAGGAAGGCCTCCCTGAAAGGGGACGTCAGAGCAAAGACTTGAAGGAGACACAGGAGCATGAGGATATGTGGAGGAAGAAAGTTCCAGGCAGAGGACAGCCAGCACGGAAGCCCTGCCTGGCCCTGGGTGGGTAACTGAGGTGTGGCATGGCCACAGCCGAGTGAGCGAGGGGTGCTGGGGTGACAGATCACGGGTCTGCGTAGCCCCTACTGGGCCTCGAGCCTTCACTCTGAGCCAGGCAGAAGCCGGTGGAGGGTCCAGGCAGAGGGAGCCACGTCTAGCTTAGGGTCAGATGGGACCATTCTGGCTGCCGCAGGGAGGAGGGCAGAAGCAGGGAGACCAGCGTGCGGGCTGGCGAGGGGACCCTAGCGTGCGATGCCGGGGCTCAGACCAGGGTGGTGGCAGTGGTGGTGGAGAATCCGGACTGGCTTTCGAGGCAGTTGCAGCAGGATTTGTTCCAGGATGGGACGTGGGGTGGGAGAGAAGTAGGACTCTGACGTGTCCGGCGAGAACTCCTGCAGGGACGGGGTTGCTGTTTGAAACAAAAGCAGATCTGCTGCTTAGGGTGTCTACAGACCCTTCCTGAAGCAAATCCAAACTTATCAGCAAGCCCCTCAGATAGGATGGGGACTTTTTTTAATCCCAAATAGTCATATAGTTGGAATTACCTTGGGCATGGACAAGGGTGGGCGGGGCGAATCAGGGTGTCAGTGAATCACTCTAAACTGGGATGTCACACCTGTCTCCCCACACACCTGGGGTCCCCTCCAGCTTGTCCCCACTGGCACCCTGCCCACCAAATTTGGCCCATATGCATGTTTTGTTCGTCCTGGATGGAGTTGGCCTCCACCACATATTAAATTTTCGTGAGTTGCCAACATTCCAGAATCATACGATTTCACATAAAAATCTAGACTTCCCGTTTCTCTTGCATAATCAAATTACCCGCCAACACTGGGCCTGAGTCTTTGCCTGGCTACCATTGGCACCTGCACCTGTCCGGGGGCAGATGGGCCCTCCCAGCATTAAGGACACCTGTCTAGCCCCTGGGAGGGAGCATTTGAATTTGAGAACCTGGTGTTAAAGCCCGAAACATTCTTGATGAAACCAATGTGTGATGCTGAAAGTCAGGGTGGCAGTTACCCTCGGGAGGTGGAATAGTGTCTGGGAGGGGCCAGGAGGGGGACCTGGGTCGGGGGGCCAGTCACACAAGCGTGTTCAGGTTCTGAAATCTTGTGGAGCTGTACAGTTGGCAATTGTGTATTTCTTTCTACTCCGTGAGATTTACCAGAAAAACTGTTGCTATTCATAAAGAAGTTCATATTTTTCAGGAAATGTGAATCTGCTTTGAAGGGCCATGTCCCGGGTGCATTTCGCTTTCCACTTTTCCTTCTGGTCGGCTGCTACAAAGACATGCACTAGCTTTGGGGCTTCCTAAGTCACTTCCTGTTTCCTAAAGCTTCAAAACAGAGCTTGGGAAGACCAAACATCCCCAGCCTCCACGCCGTCCTAATGATAGAAGGAGATTAGCCAATTTCCAATTATCAGGGAGGTCTTTTAAACAGTGACTCCCAAGGTATTGAGGCTTAATGCCCATTTTACTACCCTGGTTAACCCATCACTCTGGGTTTTCCCGGGAAAGCTAGAACCGCAGCACTGGTGTGTTTACAAGGCTGCTCTCCGGTTGCTGGTCCCAGGGGAGGGAACACCCTGGGGCTCTGTGCAATCAAAGACATCCCAGGGGGTAGATTCTCCCTGGCAGAAAGAAACCAGCTTCATCAGAAAGTGATCAGCTGGAGCTCCTGTTCTTTGAAACTGTCCTAGCTCTTTGGTTATTCAAGAGATAGTCATTAGGCCCCTGCTCTGCGCTGGGCATTCAGTGAACAAGACAGACCAGGCCCATTCCTTCATGGGACTTCCATTCTAGAAGGGAAGACAGTAATAAACAAGGAAGCAGCTAATAAATCCCATAATCGCAGATGGGGGTACATGCAGGGGAGGGAGGGAAAGAGGATCCCTGGGGAGAGATCGTGATATACAATGTACGCATGCGCCATCCACACGTCACACTGTGTCCCGTAAATACGCAGAATTATTGTGTGTCAATTATAAACTTAAAAATTACTTAATAAAAAAAAGAACTGGGAAGAGTTAGAAGATGCTCCAGATCATGGGTGGGAAGGTCTGAATTTTAATCCTGACTCTGCCACATTTGGACCCGTTCCCAAACCTCTCTCTGAGAGCCTCGGTTTTCTCATCTGTAAAATGGGTGGGGAAGGGACATCCACATGTGCTGAGTATCCTCATCACAGGAGCAGTTTTCCACACGTGGCCTCCACATCCTGTCACTGTCAACCCTCACGGGGTTAGTCGTGTCCATTTTATAGATGAGGAAACAGGCTGTACAGAGAGGTTCTATCAACTGCCCAGCGCCATGCCTGTCGGACGGAAGCGTGGGGCACGTGCAGAGAAGGCTGGGGGTGCTGAGGTCGGGAAAGCTCCTATCCCAGGGCCCTCAAGATCAGCCCAGAAGCTTTGATTTTACTTGTCAGCGATGAGGACCCAGTGAGGACTGTGGGGCCGGCGCCTGGCGTGCCC